CTCGGTTCCATGTGCTATCTGCTTTGGCTTTGAATACTTGGACTTCAGTGTGATTTTGCATTCTGGATTTCTGTGCTTCGTCCATACTCATGTTCCTTGCAAATTAAACCCAAGAATGAAAGAAAATAACTCTCAGAAATAATCATAAATATTAAACCACCAGAACTTATGACCTTCCCTTCCTGCGCCTAGAAATGCCCTGGGCGCCAAAGAAAAACCAAAAAAAAAACGGCGCGTTTTCATTTTCGGCTGCCTTCACCAGCCATTCAGCGCCGGTAGGCCATGCCCCAAAAGTCACGGCGCGTCAACGGCCATGTCGTAGAAAAATGGCTGGGAAACCTACTGGTGGGTCTGGTGGTTTAAATACCTTAGCAACCAAGTTGAGCCAACCCTATCCCCACATCGCACTGAATTCAAGGAATTTGCCAGCCATTGGCAACCAAAGTATTCCCAAAAAGATGGGAAAGAAAATGAACATTTAAATAGAGTCCATTTCATTCACATCCTTATCAAACCCATCATGTCATATTCAATCTTCCCCCCAAAAGTCAATCAATCAATCAGCCGGATTATACAACAGATGATAATCCTTACCGAGAGTGACGAGTCTGATATTCCCTTCCCAATCACTTGATGTGCAGCGGTTAACCTTGATTGACTGCAATTAAGACCACATAACCAGAGAAGAGCACCATGAAGGCACATTTCTGAGCTTCGTGCTGGCCCGCAACAGAATAGTAAACCAGCAGGGAACGGTGTGGAAACGAGTGTCACCAAGACAAGAAGGAACTAAAACCACCCTGGATGATGGTGAAGCATAAAACCACTCTTACAGCTGCTGAAGTATTCACTCACAGGTTCTTTCTCAGGCCACAGCTGGAGAATGCCTATCATGATATTCAATCATGTCCAGAGAGTGCCAAATTGATATTCAATCATGTCTAGAGAGTGCCAACTTGATATTCAATCATGTCTAGAGAGAGCCAACTTGATATTCAATCATGGCTAGAGAGAGCCAACTTGATATTCAATCATGTCTAGAGAGAGCCAACTTGATATTCAATCATGTCTACAGAGTGCCAACTGGGGGGGGAGAGAGAGAGAGAGAGAGAGAGAGAGAGAGAGAGAGAGAGAGAGAGAGAGAGAGAGAGAGAGAGAGAGAGAGAGAGAGAGAGAACAAGGAAAAAGTATCGATAATAATGCAGGCGGACATAACGGAGGTGTGCAAAATAGATGAGCATGAGAGGCAAAGAAGAGGGAGTGAAGGCAGATGGTGATGTCGTGGCTGGCCAAATTGTAAACTGAGGTGTGCTGTGATGACCGAACTGTATACCTGAGGTCAGCCATAACTAAAACACCAAAAAGCTCTCAGGATCACTAAGTTGTGATAGCTGAAGATTAGCACACCCAGTCCAGTTCGGAATACTTTGGTCAAACCTACCAGAAGTTAAGATGCATATGCCATAGTAGTTCTGCATGTTTTGGGATTGCTACCAATGGTAGTTTGATGAAACAACCAAAAGCCATGGGAAGGGTTGTACTCCCCTAGGGTTGTACTCCCCTAGGGTTGTACTCCCCTTGATCTTCCACATAGTTACAAGCCCCTAGACTTTGGACAAGAAAGAAACCATGATAAGCAACAAGCAGATGGTTAAAGGATGCGACACGTCACCCACACATTAAGCTCACTTTCAGTCAACGGCAATTTGAAGCAAACTGACCAGGCTGCATAACACCACCAGGTCGCCTTCCCTGGCCGTACCTTTCATTGATGAACCTGAAATAAACAAGAACTCCAAGTGCACGAAAAGCAGCTGACCGCGGAGCGGGAACAGAGTCTTCGCAAGCCATACTCAACTGGTGCAAAAGAAGAAAAGGGAAAGCAAACAGTAACACACAACAAAACTCAGCAAGTTGACCAACAGTTTAAATGCTCTTGTCCAGAGTCTGTTCACTATCACCAAGGCTTTTCATATGAATGCCCAGTGCAGAACCAGTCAGTTTTTCCATTAAGAATTCCAGATTGATCGCGTGGCACTTCCTGGGCTCCTGATCTCATCCGTTTGAATAATGAGAGGTAAGGAGAGTGTGGCATGCTGACTACACGGCTACATAGTACAAACTTATAGATGTTCACCATGCTCTCATAACTTTGCTTCTGATATACACACTTGCGTTTAAACTTTAAAGCTCAACATTTCTGTCTGAAGTTCTCCCAGCATGCTCTGCACAGTTCTCCAGAATGATGTGGATTGCATTGTGGAATCATTGCATGCTACCGTCTTCACCCGAACAGAACGCCATGTCATTATAGTCATATTTGGTGAAACTTCCAGTCTAGGTACAGCGATAATGATAGGCGTTGTATTCGGGTGAAAACGGTAGATACAACCAGACTTCCAAGTACAGACATGTGATGACGGCTTCCAGTAGATCCCCCAAACTCTCTCCCTCTTCTTCCCATCTCTTTTGGTCCATGTAATGCACAGGTACATGTAGCCTGCCATACCCTCCCTCCTGCATTTATTCAAATTCCCAACAAACTAGAACAGAGTCAACAGACATGTTTGGGTCTCTGCATTACAGTTGTCAAACGCCATCGTAGCATCTGTTTCAAGTTCCAACTTTTGACTTCGGGTTTCGAATGATGCACGAGGATCGATGGATGTCTGAATCATACTCATCGTATATCCTACATCTCCTCACCCTCCATTTCCCCATTCTTTTACGGCTATAATCATGGTTGCTGCGGTGAAAAAAATACGATCGGGTCAATTCAACCACGGTAGTTTCCTAATGGTATCTGAAGAGAGAATCGGCACCACAGCATGTCATAACTGGAAATTTCTCCTTCATCTTTGAACAGCGACTTCCTTCCTTGCTATGGTGGACTGCCAGGTGTTGATGAAGCTGCTTCTCTCATTCACCATGCAAACTTAACCATTGGCATGCACAGTCAACCAATGGATTGCGCAGCAATTATGCCTACGACGCTTCACCAACTCCGATTAAATTGCGATAGCCAATAGACCACCCATAACACATTTGACGTATCCATCGTGTCCTTCCGATAATAGTGTTCTTCGTAATGTAATTCCTAAGGTATTAGCTTGTCCTGTTTTTGAAGGAGCAATAGCAAAACGTCCATAACGTATACGTTGACTGACACTGCCATTTGGCAAGGTACAGAACCATACATATCCCGACCTCAGACGGTGATGATCTAGACTGTTTTCTCCACACCCTTACAGCCAGCTTGCTGGAAACTTCCTGGACTCCAACAATGCACCTAAGCATGTTTCCTGCTGCCTACTTCTACCGGTCTCATTGGCATGCTCACACAAGAACTGTCCTCGATGCATCTGGCCGCAAACGCAGCCAGATTCAGTTCAGAAGGTCCGAGTGTGAGTGTGGCCTTACTTGCATTCTCCCTTTGATGCCTCTGAGGCTACTCAAGGGGGGTGGGGGTGTGTCAAGAGTCTGCAGTTGTAAGATGCCATATCGAAAGTTCGCTGCGTTTTAGAGTTCAATCAATTTATTAAAATTTCAAAACCAATTGCTGACAAGTTTCTCATAGTCAACTGAGAATGTTCTCAATCTTAAAAAAGAACTGAATCCAGAAAAATCATCAAAAATGACTTTCCCAACCCCCCCCCCCTATAGTGAAAGCACTAAGGTGTGGCCCACTAGGACTTTCCTGGATGAATCTGACCGCTTTGACGGCTAGTCAATGTTTCCTGGATGAATCTGACCGCTTTGACGTCCAGAGATAAATAAGGTGTGGCCTAGTCAATGTTTCCACCATGTCTTGTCCTCCTGTTTCAAAAACACGTCTTCATTCGATGTGCCAATTTGTGAAAATAAAGTCTCCATGGGCTACGATAAGTTACCAGTTCTCAATTTTGACTTTTCATCTTCCGTCTTTTCAGCTGGATCACTGTACCCATATTGCATTTCATTGCCATATACTTGTGCTACTAAGATGTCTTGTATATAGTCTGCGAGCCTGAGGCAAGCACGAATAAATGCACAAAGGGGCCAAAAGGCAGCTTTCAATGCGATAACGAGTCCAGAGGATGGGGGTAAAAAGGCAAGGAAGATCGGAGAAAGGGAAAAAAAGAATAAATAATCAAACGAAACAACGAGACAACCTAATAAGCGAGTGCAGATCCTAGATCAGATACTTACAACTGTCGATAGTATGCACTCTTGCCTGGTGGATGGCAGGGATTCGAAGCCAGCAGCCGTCATCCCTGCATAACAAGTCAGGGCTGCAGCTCGCACCTACAAGCACAGTCTGCCTTTGTCAGTATCTTCCCTCTCAGTAGAGAGTGATACAAAAGGTGACCAAAGATATAATCCAAACTTCGAACTCCTGTTGCGGAGGCATTTTCAAACACAGTGAACAATTGCCGTCATGTCATTCATTCTGTTCTTCAGAGCAAAAAGTCAGGAAAACGACTGTTGCAATCAGACTCGTTCTCAAACACACTTTTCATGCATGTAAACAGCAACGCAGCAAACTGGCGACATGCGCCCACTCAAAACTCAGAGATATGGCTTTCAGATACGAGTTCACACTCAATTGGCTATGGTGACTTCAGCGCCCAAACACCTCACTGTTCACATACACTGTATCACCCTGGATATCCCACACGCATCACTCTAACACTCGAACACACACACACACTCGCTACTAACTACAGCTATGGCAGCTACTACACACACATGCACACACTCGCTACACAGGTCACAGGTTCAATTCTCGGGATCCATAGAGATACTGCACATAGGTAGGGTGAGGTCTAGGGATCGAACCCTGGGTACTGCATCTGCTACTGCTAAAAGGTGAAAACCGTTTCACTGTACTTGAAGAGGATCCATTCTGTAGCTCGTACACTTCCCTGTATCTACGAAAAGCCAGGGAAACGCTGCTGGGCCCTGCTGAAACCTACCAAGGCATGGATTTTCTGCTGAGATGTCCCAAATGGGAAATACCCTCCCTGCTTTTTGAGAAGGTTTCAATCCCAGCCCAGTTTCATGCCAAGGGGAGCACATGCATGGCATGTGCAGCAAAGGAAGGATGGGAACCAGATTGACAGGGATGAATAGGTAGCTCATCAAGGATAGCGAAAGATGGATTGTGTCATCCCATTAAACCGATAAGGTTCCATCTTCCAACAGAGGTCCAGTGAATTGTATGAACACTCCAGCACAGAACATGGTCTTTTAGATCCAGCTCCTTGGACGGTCATGTCCTTTGACTTCTCATGAAACTTTTCATTTCCAAATAATAGCCATTCACCAACACATGTGCCTACATCAAATCAATAAATGGTGCTCCAAAAGATGTCGAGTCCTGTTTGGAACACCCAGTGCAATTTATGTTGTTTTAAGTTTTAACTACACAGCTTCTTGGATCATCATCTTTTCAAGCTCTTTTTCAATTCTCATGTGGCTATATACCAAATGGTCTTAACTACATGCGCAAGACATATTGATTCGACCATTGAAGACCCTCCGCACATTAAATAACATTGTGCGTGTTGAGAACTTGACATCCCATTCCCATATCATAGTCCATAACAACTACACAACATTTCTGCTTTGTCACGGTCCCACACCGCTGGTAACTTACTAATAGGCACAATTCAAACCTCGGGCACCTGCTTACCAGGCAACAGAGGACCAAGACAGGCAAGATGAGTCGATCACCCGCACACACACACACACACACACACACACACACACNCACACACACACACACACACACACACACACACGAACACCCACACACACATGCACGCACACACACACACACACACACACACACACACACACACACACACACACACACGTGCGTGCGTGCGGACAACATGGCCACAAGTACGCACCAGAAAGTGCAGTGCAAAATATCACTCTCCTGCATCCGGCACTACCCCCTTGGACAAACAAAACCCATAGCAGTGTATGCGGCCAACTCCTTGCTGGTTTTGCTTATCTGCAATGACATATTTCCCAAACTGCCAGGTTGTCTCATGTCTAAATAGCATCAGTTCTTTCCTTTTTAATTTGGACCATTTCTCAATTTATGCGAGCCATCCTTGCAAGGGGCCATGCTAACCTTCTGCATTCCATTCCAGTCCCAATCTGTCACGAATCATGCTGTCATCCATCTTTTTCTTTTTTTTTTGGATCATTTTGCAATTTATGTGTGTCATCCTTGCGCAGGGGCCATGCTAATCTTCTCTGTATCGTTCCAATTTTAATGGATGCCCCGAAGGACTGATGTCATCCATCTCATATCTACAAAGAGTCAGTTTTTCTTATACCCCCAGAATATTCATTGTTTTCTTTTTTCTTTTTTGGGTTCTCCCGAGCTATATCCATTCAATTTCATTATTCACAGCAAGACCCGAGGAGGATAAAAGGTTTCACTTACTGACTAAATAGTAAATACTGAGAACCAGAGACGCACCATTGGTGACTGGTCTTTCACTGCCAAAGGCAGAGTGTGATTTGCCGCAAGCGCCCATGCCCGTATAGCATTTTCATGATTCAAAGCTGGCATGCAATCCACCTTTCCCACTTGCTCCGGGGACCTCGCTCCACTGTCATCTGATCCTGGCAATCCACCAGCAACCTTTAATGGAGTCCTCACATTCAAGGGAAAAGGACTGCTTCCGTTGTTTCCATCCTGAGCACGAGGTGACTCAACAAAGACTTCATCTAGAGACATATCGTCTGAGGCCTTGTAGCCTGACACAGCTCGCAAATACTCATCCATCAACTGCAGAACAAGTAGCAAAATCACTGTTAAACCTCTTGTTAAACCCATTGTTAAACCCATTGTTAAACCCATTGTTAAACCCATTGTTAAACCCATTCATTGTTAAGCCCATTGTTAAACCCAATTCATTGTTAAACCCATTGCTAAACTCATTGTTAAACCCATCCTTAAACCCATTGTTAAACCCATTGCTACACTCATTGTTAAACCCATCCTTAAACATGGGATCAGCCTCCTTCAACAATGAGAAGGACGACAGAGCCGTAGTAGGCGGGATGGAAACCAACCCAGCCAGGAACTGAAGGGCCCATTGTTGTGAAGCCCATTGTACTCAGGTTGAAAGGGGAAAAAGGCTGTCAAACTTTCTCATGTACCGAATTTGGTCTGAGAATATGGTTAAAGTTCACACTTCGAATGTTTTATACAAGTGAGGCAACGAACAAGCACACAATTGTTCTTCAAACGAGGAGCGTCAGCGTGCGCAAGCAGGCACCATGGCCTGCAGATTGTTCGACTGGATAGTCAACTGAAAGGACTTTCACTTTGCAGACCCCAAATTCAGGGTCAAGGTCCCGCGTCGGGTACCCCACAGGCCACACACATCAAAATCCAACCGGTACCCGGCCTCAAAGTCCAGTCCCACAGTCCCACGCTCCAAGAAAACTCTGGAAGGTACCAGGCCTCAAAATTCCAATTGCAAACAGGCCGCCGGCGACCGGTACCAGTCAAGTCAGGCCCAGACCAAGTCAAGCAGAGGCCAAGTGAAGTCAAGGCCCAGTCCAGTCAACATAAAAGGACTGGCCCAGTGCCATTCAAACAGATTCTTCACTCGTGAGACGGTGTTGGCTGCTTGCGTGCTATCGCGAGTGGAAGACATGCGGTCATAGCCGCACTAGTAGTAGTAGTAGTAGTAGTAGTAGTAGTAGTAGTAGTAGTAGTAGTAGTAGTAGTAGTAGTAGTAGTAGTAGAGCATGAGTAGGAGGCGGATGTATCCAGGGAATGATCCTCATAGTAGAAGAGGTTGAGAGAGAGAGAGAGAATGAGAGGAGAGGGGGGGGGAGATAGTAAGGCTGTGTGATACAAGTAAGAGAGAGAGAGAGAGAGAGAGAGAGAGAGAGAGAGAGAGAGAGAGAGAGAGAGAGAGAGAGAGAGAGAGAGAGAGAGAGAGAGNGAGAGAGAGAGAGAGAGAGAGAGAGAGAGAGAGAGAGAGAGAGAGAGAGAGAGAGAGAGAGAGAGAGAGAGAGAGCAGGACCTCTGTGACAAACCTGGTTGAAACTGCTGGCTATCGCGCTGTTGAGCGCTATGTGACTCGAACTCTAATTTTACATAATATCATTAATATGATCATTCATTGAGAATTTCCAAGCTGCACTGATCTGGTCTCTCCTTCACTGGACTTCGGTGTGGATTTCTGTGTGAACTCTCATGGTGCACATGATTGGGGTGTGAATTCAAGTGGTTCATTGCACAACCCAGAAACGAAACCACACACTTGGTCCCTACCCAAGGCATGTGAAGAAAATGCGATAAACTCTGGAACTGCTATACCCAAAACAAGCTCGAAATGACTATTGCAGGTGTCAGTCTGAGCCTACCCGCAGTTTTGCTGAGCCTTGTGTTCTTGCAGCTGTTCCTGTATTTTCCTGACTTTCCTGCACTTTCCATACAAAAGTACGTCCTTGGTTGAAGTTGGTTCCACTTCAATCAAGTTCAATGTGACTTTTGAAGCTTTCTATGCTTGTGTGTGTACTTTGGAACAAACGTTTGTTTTGGCTGCCAGCAGATCTGAGTCCAGGGGAAAAAATTCCAGGCGAAAGGTAGACCTGCAGGGACAGGCTTGTAGAATGGCAATGGAAGAAGGGTAGCACGGCAGTCAACAACCAATGCTGACCACCAACAGATTCACAGACAGTCCGTCACTCACTGCCAACCGGTCGGCAACGGCCTGCAGGCTGAGGCTCTTACTGATGGCAGAACGTTCTGTGCATGCCCCGAACACCCAGAAACCGCTGTGAAAATGCTGTTTCAGGGTGATCAGGTTTGGTGGGGAGGGGTGCTGGGGGAGGGGTTACATGAGCGTGTTGTTGGGGGACAGGTTGGGGGTTGTAGCGGGCTTCAGGGGTGCATTTGCTGGGATGTTTGCAGACATATCTCTAACCATGTCTGAAGACGGCACTCATGTCTGCCAAGGACGTTTGCAATATCATGCATTCTTGCAAGGACGTTTGCAGACATGTCTGCAAATATGTGTGAAAGACTGCAATCATGCTTGCGTTTTTGCAGACAAGTTGTAGGCAGGGGTGGGAAGTGCCAGGGGAGTTGCTATACGAGGGTGTTCTTAGGGAACAGGTTGAGGGTTGTAGGGACTGGGAGGGTTGCTTTTGCTTGGACGTTTGGAGACATGTCTGCAAGCATGCACGAAAGACAGCAATCATGTTTCCATTCTTGTAGACAAGTTCGCAGTCAAGTTGGCATGTCCATGTTGCCGAAATGTTCCCAAAAATGCTTTAAATTTAAGTCATTATTAACCCTAAAAAAAAAATCTGCAGAAAAAAAACAAAACTCAACGTGTACAAAATGCGCACAGCGCTGCCTTTTAGTGGACCGATCAGGAGTACAATCACAATTTTTCAAGTAGTGGAAGAAGAACAACAACAAAAAGAAGTTGATCACTTTCCTTGTTGGCTGGTGTTTGGCGGGTGAAATTGTGGGTCAGGGGGAGAGAGCACGGCTTCCGGGACGGCAATAACATTCCACCTCACATTTGCAATGAGGTCAAAGGTGGGTGAGCCAGCTCTTTTGTTGCAGTCTGGCTTTGGAAAAGGCTGGCCTTGCCAATGAGTCGACAACAGAGACCAGCTGGGCTGCCAGACGCACTACTGGGCCCAGCAAGGACCCCTGGTGGTCGGCCATCCCCACCTCAGGTCCCACTGGAATTTTGTGGCGGACCGACCAGCAGCACACGGGTGGATCCGTCGAGAGGTCATTCGCCAACTGGTTGGGGACGCTGACGGCCGGCTGTGCTATTCTCAATGGAACGACAAAAGGTTGAAGTCCTGGATGGAGGGACTTGGAACCCAGACGGTGCGGGGCCAAGAAGGTAAACCTTTCGAGTACAAGTAGGGATTGTCGAGGAAGTGAATGTCAGCCGCAGTTCAGTACACTTGGAGGCATGGCATACCCAGATACAAGCCTCCTCATGGACTAGATTAGAGGTTGGTACATCCAGTACCAAGAGTGCCCTGCAGGCTGACCTGAAAGTCATCGTTCTTCTGCCACAGAACAAGGGCAAGGGCCTAAGGATAACTGGGTAGCTCCGCCCGTATAACACGATATAGGCAGTGGTAGAGAGCAGAAGAGCCTCTCAATGCAATCGAGCATTGCAACCATCCTGCAGCTACGTGGAATTCGCAGCACCGAGAAGCTACTGGAATTTTCGGGGGTGGATAAGGAGGAGGACGACAGGCTCATCATTGCCTGTTGCTTATTGACAATAAGTTACAGAAAATGAGGATGATGCCTGCTGCCGGTTTATTGACAATAAGTCACAAGAGTCAGAATACATAACAAGAAGTTTGTCCTTTGAGACATCCGTTAAAATTGGAACGATACAGAGAAGATTAGCACGGCCCCTGCGCAAGGATGGCACATATAAATCGAGAAATGGTTAGAATTTTCATGGTACGGTCATACCACATCTGATATGCTAGATCCCATGTGAGATCGGAAGCCAAGCACACTTCGCTCAGAATCGTACTGGAATGGGTGCCCTCCTCAGAAGTCCCGGTGCTGTGACTATTTAAAAAATGAGAAAAATGAAGTACAGACAGGAATGCCTGCTGCCGGTTCATTGACAACAAGTTACAGATAGGTATACTGCGATAAATGCATTAAGCATCAAAGTAGATCAAACGAAACCATACAACAAGAGAAGAAGTATTTGTGCCTGTTTGCAGACACTATAATGTAGAGAAATGGCGCCCTAACAAGCAAACATCATCACCAACCTTCACAGCGGCATGCACTGATTTGTCATCACCACTGCCACAGCTGTCACTGGCTTTTGGAGGAGCCCCTCTCCAATTGCCACATTCGTCCACAGCCACAGCAACTCGACTTTCATTTCTTTTCTCTATCATCCTTGAAATCAATGACTGTAGGACATCCCATTTAGGAGTCAGCGCACTCGTATAATTGTGGGCAGCAGCTCTCAACGCCTGCATCTCACAAAGCCCACCCAGACAGCCCCCCCCAAAAGCAAGCCAACAGAGGGATGCACAATGTAAGCATGCATACTATCCAGCCATCCTGGGTCATAACATGGTCCATCCCGTTCAGGAAGGTCACCCAAAATGAACTCAGCTCAACTTCACTGTTCCAGAAGTTTTTTCCTTTCTTGTATTTTCCTCAAAACTGAAGCTCCGATTTATTGCTGGGGCACTACAGCTCTCCTAAACTAGGCTCAGCGTCCCATGAAATAAAGACAAGGGGGAAAATGCTGACCAGATCTCGACTCCAGAGCATACTTGCGGCGCACTTCTGCGCTGCGCCATGCGGTGCGCATGCGCCATGCGCCATGCGCAAATTGGTGATGCGCTCAATTTTTTATTTTTTATTTTTTTATTTTTTTTTTAAGGTGTGTGGATGGGCCCCTACATCCTTCCTCTCAACTCCATTTTGTTGTTTTTCAGGGGTGTGTGAGAGCAAAGGATCCCCTTAACACACCTCAGGCTGCCAATGCAGGCACTCTTAAGGGTCCTCACGGCATTAAAGCCCAGACCCCCATCCAAAAACGAGGCAGGCAGTGAACGTGAATTGCACGACGAGCTGGCCGAATATATAGTGAAGATTTGAATTCAGGTTTGTAATTCAGCAGTTATGGGTTGGTCAGTAAGCTATGGCCTGTTGTTCTCTACACGTGATTCTCAGGGTTTGGCTGCACTACTCACCAAATGTGCAAAATTAGAATGAATCTTCTGCAGAACGTGGAATAGTACGCCGCCATATGTTGTCTTTTATGCATGGTCATGATTAGAGGCCCTGAGGGCCACTGCACGTATTCCTAAGAAAAGGAAAACAGAAGAAAGAAAAACAAAAGAAAAGGAAAACGAAAGAAATGGAAAACGAGAACAACGAGAAATAGCGACCCATAACCGAGATGCAGAGACCTGGATTCGAATCCAGATTATATTTTCTTGGCCCGCGCCTAGAAGTGGGTAGTGTGAAGTTCGCCTCTGCTACACAAAGGGCCCCAGCTAATATGCTGTAAGGGCCCTTCGGAAAAGAGGCTGGACCCAGTAGGGCATGAATACTCGCATGCATAGACGAGTGCCCACAGTTKTGGGGTATCGCATGGCCCAAACTTTTTTCCCTCTTGCTCTCTGATTTTCAGAGGTGAGGGGAGGGTTTGGCCACCCCACTCTGAACTTTCTGTGTTTTTTTTTTTTTTTTTTTTTTTTTTGATGCGGCGCATCACATGCGGCGCATCTCATGCGTGTGCACTGTGCGCCGCATGTGCCGCGTCCCCACGCATGAGATGCGCCGCAAGTATGCTCTAGAGTTCTTTTAAATGACATTGAACTCCAGATGCCACCCCCTGTTCTGGTTGAGGGAGCCATGTTTGAGGGAATTCATTGCTCACTACCCCCAAACGGCCCCTGTTCTTCTACTTGTGTTTCCGGGCTCCCTTATCAGAACTTCCCTCCTGGGCTACCTGGCTGGATGTCCGGGCTGCTGCTCGCTTCACAAGTGGGACGGCTGAGCAAGGTCCCAGGCCAGGGCCCAGGCAGCCCCAGCAAAAAAAACAAAAAGAACTGCAGAAAAAACATAAGAAAATCTGGAAATAAACTTAATAAAGTATGTTTCGCACACCATTCGCTTGAGATGCTACCTCAAAATCGTATTCAACGTGTGGGAAAAAAATCAAAAACGATTTTCCCTTTTTGTTGTCGATTTTGTTTTTCTTTTTCTTTCAATTTTGTTTTCGTGGTGCACCTTTGTTTTTTACACCACAACGCACAGATTCAACACAATCCAGTTTGAAGAACTGCATGCTCTGTATCTGGTAGCATCAAGTGATCAACAACAGATTTTGTCAGGGTTGTCGAGCCCCGGCCCCAGGGCCCCGGCAGGGGTCCAGGGGTCCGGGGGTGGGCACCCCCAACCCCAGCTCCGGAACCCCCCCCCCCCCCCCAATAAAAAAAAATCAGAAAAGAAAAGAAAAGAAAAGAAGAGCTGTGAGGAATGTGCCCTGACAGGGCCCTAGCCAACATGCACATGATCTGGGCTGTGGCCCCCAGCAAGCCTCGTGCCCGCCCTAAGTGAAAGCGGGCCTGAATATCCATAAGAGGCCCTTATCTCAGCATTTTCCGATGTGGGTATCAGACAGTTGCAGCACCCCAGTTGGTTGAAGTGCAACGTGAGCCTTTCCCTGGGCTCCTTTCAGAAACAGCAACTGCGTCAAGCAGTTGAGCCCAGGTCCGGGTGGTTGCGCCCCGGGCACACCCAGTGCGAGGCCGACACATCACGAAGGAGCCTGGAGGCTGCCTGGACGTGCATAACCAGAAAGGGCCCAGGCCCCCAACTGTCGGACAGGGCCTGGACACAGACACCTGGGGCCCGACTGGAAGCTACTGGGAGCTTCCTCAGCCAGGTCCTCGCAGAGAAATAGAGGCCTCGACTTCCATATAGGAAGGTCGCTGGCCAGAGGCCGGCATTCTGGCCTAGGCAGGCAATGCGGAGACGCTGCTGCGTTGCCGTACAAGTGTCTGCGTGTGCCCTGCTGGCTGGGGCGCACACGGGCGCTATGAGGTGAGAGGGGCGCTGCGGGGCAGCGGGCGAACGGCAGCCATAGCCGGGCTGCAGGGGCACATGCGGTTGAGAGGCGGAGCAGGTCTTCGGGTAGGAGGCGCATGAGTGGGTGGTCGAGGTCTGATGAGAAGAGGAGAGAGAACGTACCTGGTGTATGTGGGAGGTCTGCACTGGTGTTGACGTCATGTACATTGGTCTTCAACGTCGGAGTGATCCTGTTCCGAGAATGTAGATAGGCTAGATAGGCTCAGTAGAGTAGGCTGGGTGCCGGGCGCCAGACAGAGATGAGCGACATTGGATACTGTGTTGGTGATGACATTGAAACACGAGTTGCTTTGCTCTTATTTGGATGGAATCTTGGTGCATTTTTTTGTACAATTTTTTTTTTTCTTGGTGCATTCGAGTTCTCTGCTTGGTACATGACTATCTGGACTTCTGCGTGATTTTGAAACTTGTTTTCTGTCTATCGCTCTTGCTGATATTCCTTGCAGAGCGAGGTAGTCGTGGTTGAAGAGGAGGAGGAAGAAGAGGAGGGGGGAAATAAGAAAAAAGGAGAAAATAGCTGGAACTTCGGGTCCTGGGAGAAACTTGTCGTTTAGAATTTTGATTTTAATTTTTTTTAATCGATTTACAACCTAGCTTTCCCAGGTCACCCGGCCGGGTAGGGACCCCGCCCGGGGTACCCCGGTCCGGGTATGCAAAAAATCCACAGAATTTATTTTATTTTATTTTCTGACTGTCCGGCCTTGCTGCACTTTCCGAGTACCACCCAAATCCGCCCTCATTTTATTTTTTAATGCAAATCGGTTTCTGTGCGTTGGGGGAAGAGGGGAGGGGGGGGAGCAGAGGAGATATGGCGGAGGAGGGGGGAGGCGATCTGGCGGGAGGGAGGAGGGAGCCGATCTGAAGGGAGGGAGGACTATAGCAGGCGGGAGGAGGGCGGACTATGGTGGGAAGGAGGAGGGAGGACAATCACGGGAGGGAGGAGGGAGGCGGTCTGGTGGGAGGGAGGAGGAGGGAGGACTGTAGCGGGAGGGAGGAGGGAGGACTATGGCGGGAGGTAGGAGGGAGGGGTGCCTCCTCAAAGGAGGGAGGAGGGAAGATATGGCAGATGAGGAGGGAGGGAGACAATGGCGGTGAATCGGGTGAAGCTTTTCCTTTTTTTTTAGAAGAGGAAGGGAGGGAGGAGAGGACATATGGAGGAGGAGGGAGGCCATCTGGTGGGCGGGAGGATGGAGAAGTATGGCAGGATGGAGGAGGGAGACTATGGTGGGTATGGCAGGAGGGAGGCGGGAAGCGATCTGGCAGGAGGGAGGACTATGGCAGGNAATAAAAAAAAATCAAAAAAAAAAAAGGTGGGGGACATCCTCAAATGCGGAGACTGTAGTGGTATGCGAGGGAGGGACGAAGGGACAAGGCCATTTCTGCCCATTTAGGGTGGCACACCGGCAGCGAGACTTAAGTTGGGACCCGCGGGATTGGGAGTGGCCTCCTCAGAGGATGCATAAGAGAACAACCCCGCTGCAGCAGCTGATGAACAAGGACATCTCTAACTCCCTGCTAGAGCCACGCGACATCTGTGGGGAACTCAAGAGTCGCTGGGCCAAGACAGACTGGCTTCCAGACGTTTATTACGAAAGATGGACTCAGCGTAAGTGGAACGTGCAATGTGCTCTTATGGCGGCGCTGCTGGATCAGAAACTGGCTGGCTTGCTATGGCAAATCTATCATCTGGCCATTCCGACAGCGCAATGGCTGGCTCTCAGAAGCTGCCATAAGGAGCAACAATGTGCGGCAGGATGCGGAGAGGTGGAGACCATACCTCACCTGTTTCCTGCAATGCCCAGTAATCAAGGCCTTCTGGACGTGGTGGGCGCAAATAGCAGAGCACACCCCATTGGAAGTAGCAGAAACAGATGAGGCGCTCATTCTCCTGCGAACCCTGGTGAAGGCCAATAGATTGCAGCCGGAGAATCAGCTGGCAATGGAAATTGTGAGAGCAGCACTAATATGGACCATCTGGACCCTGAGAAACGAGCGATGCAGACAGGGCCCGGCCCCCACCCTGCAGGCATATCAGGGACAAGCTATGGAAAATATTTGAGTAGCCATTCAGGCAGACTTCTGTCGGTGTGACTGAGCAGGAGAAGGAAAGGATCGCTTTTGGAGGAGATGGAACTCATATCCACAGCTGCTGGTACCAGACCCCCAGTCAAGTGTCTCGTTTGGGCCTCTGTTGCGGCGATGAACATGTCAAGCGGAGACCGATGTGTAATATAGAGGTTCAGAAGTTAGTGGGAATGGATGAGAATAGGATAGATTCAAGTTGTAGGGTAGGCACACAAAGAGAGGGATGAGGATAGGATAGGAAGAAAGCAGGGGTGGGGGTACAAGTATGTGAGGAAAGGGGGAGGGTGGGAAGGGACAAAGCTGTAATGAAAAAGCCGGGGTACTATACATAGACCGTACGGAACAAAGGGAGCTTGTGAGTACTAGGGGCATACCCCAAGATAGGGAATGGGCACATAATGTGAGGCCAAGCATGAGGCTTATGATATATTGTAGTTTGTAGTAGTAAAGTAGGCAATAGGCAAAGTATATGGATGTCAAGCAAATGGCAAGGAAACAGTAAGATAGTATCATTTAATAGAAGGTAGGGACAATGACTGGGGAATAGATATTCAGTTAGAATTTGGACATTGACCGGCCAGTGAGGCTGCCCGCCGGCTCTCCCCCGCGCCCCGCCATTTACAGGATCCACATGCTATGTGTCTGGGTGCTGACAGTAAGCTTCCCAGCCAGCAAGTGCACCCTGCAAATGAGTCATGGTTCGGGGGAAGAGCGGCCGAAGCAAACCCCTCCCTTGTGTAAGCGACTAGAGCTGCAAGGGTGGCTGTATCTGACTCTTATCTGATCTACTCTTTCTTTTCCTCTTCAACTGCTTCTCATGTACTTTTGGCATGCCGGTGACGAGCAACCGGACTGATGGCCCCCAGAATAGATGGGGCTTTGTTTAAAAAGAAAAATAAATAAATAAATAGGGGGTGCGCAGCAGGAGCCCGCACCCCGTGGCCCAAACCTTGAAAAACCCGTTTTTACCCCACCTTGGGGGCGCGGATGGCTGGCCGTGGGGGCAGGGGTGCGGGGGCAGGGGGCGAGGGTGGGGCGCGAGGGTCAGGGAAGGCGTGGAGGTGAGGCGTG